AAAATTTGAATATGAACATTGTATTTTTAAACAAAAGTTAAACTTAGTTTATCTTTTCTTTTAAACTTAGCACAAAAGGATAGATAAACAAAGTTTAACTTTTGTTTAAAAAAACATTACGTTCATATTCGATATGAACCTTATTTCAAAAGGAAATTGATATTCGTGTCGCCTGTGAAAATTTATCTCGATCAGGGTGAAAACCGTCATGAGGTAAGTTGGCTTCGTTAAAGTCGTAAAGGGCTAACTTCTCAAGACGTTTGGGTCTAATAACGAAAAGACGGCAATTACTCAAAGCCAGGCTACTGTGCAAACCTGACTATAATATATTTACCGGAGCCATTTCACTCACAAACAAGAACCCCTTTTTTGCTACAGTTTCCCTACCCCCTCCGTACTTGGAAGATAATTTTAGGGGATAACGCACTTTCCCCGGCTTTCTTTATGCCCGAAGCTTTATCGATATTTTCAAGTTTCCCCGTTATCGCAAATCCAGCGTATATATCCATTTTAACTTTATTAAATATCCAACAACTAAAACTTAGCCTTTAATAAACCTGAATTATTGTATCGATGTTGTTGTCTGCAGTTTGTGGTTTTTAACAATCCGGATTTCAAGCATTAAACGCTCATGATCAGATCGAAAGAATTAGAAACTCGTCCCTTTTTTTAAAAATGTACTTTTAATAATATTTGACATACAAATTAATCACTAATTTAAAATTATTTTCTTACAGTAGTTATTAGGATAATATTTAGTTGTGTTATAATGCGCGTTTTTCGCAAATTCAAAATTGAGTGGCATTAAAAACCAGCTTCTCATTGGGAGTCGCGTTGGCGGTGGATCGGCAAGTCATTACTATTCGTGTGGAGAGTCGTGTTTGTAACTCCTTCAATCTGATGATGAGTGTTTAATGCATGAAATCCGGATAGTTGTAAACAAAAAATCTATGAATAGAATCATCATTTACAAATTTTACATACACCACATTTATCATTTCTACCTACAAGGATAAATAGACCAAAATGTTTGTGCATGTAAAATTTAACTAACAATTTAGTACATGGTTTTGCTCAAAATAATGCATTAAGAACAAAAGATGCGTTGCTATTGCGATACTGATTTGTGATACACACTGTGTGACTGTACGTGGCATGAGCTTGACGTCGCATAGATGTGCACACCCTACCAAAACGTGGTAAGGCGTCGGGTAGCATCGGGTAAGTGTGTTCCCGGCTTAAGTCTTTTGTCGATCTAAAGTCCCAAATACCGGACATCATTAGTTGCTGGGACAGGAATACAGTTATAATAGGTCGGAATAGAGATGATGTACAAATAGTGAAGGTAGAAATGATGAATGGTGAAGTGAGTGCGGTGTTCAATCCTTTTAAAAAGATAGTTCCCACATACAGTAAGTTATTTCCAACGATCCGGATTTCGAGCTTTTAGCTCATCATCAGGTTGAAGGAGTTCTACAACCTGATGATGAGCTAAAGCTCGAAATCCGGATCGTTGAAAACAACTTACTGAGAGTAGAAACTATCTTTTTAAAAGGATAGAAGAGTGAAGATTATTACCTGGTATTTGGTTTCGTCCAAGTAGGAAGGTGAACGATCATGGGGATTTTTGATGGCAACTACTGTGGGGAGGAGGATGGTGGCATCACCTGCATATATTCTGAATCATTGTCAATAGGAATGTCTACAGTGTATACTGAAAATGGGACCCAAGGATGAAATTTCAATTTTCTCAGCTCTGATGAAATTTCCATAACCTACAAATGAGATAATCATTGAATAATATACCCATGTTGTGTAGATGTTTCCCAGATGATACTGACCGGTATATATCCCAATCCCCTGCATTTTACCTTGTCTAAAATTGTGTTTGCCAGTTTTGGTGAGGGTTCTTTAATCATTTACTATGCCTGAAGTTCGCCTACTTCTCATTTTGTTTTTTTGTGGATCCATTTTGAGATCTTATTATCCCAATTATAGGTTATGTTCTGAATATGGTCTTGTAGATCCTCCTCCAACCAGTATACTTGTTCCTTCCCAAGAATTCATTTATGTCCTGGTACCCAATATATCACACACCCACAAGAAAAGAGGCACAACACAACAAAAGAAAATTTTACAGATCGAGAGACAGATGGAAGTTTACTTTTCTGACTTATGAATTAAGTACACACCATTGCGGTTGTTGGCAATAAAAACTCATGATCCATCAATATTGTCTTTCATTTGTCTAAGACTTAAGCAAAAATACAAAACTTTAAAGTTTTACTATCCCTAAACAACTCCACTTTTTGAGTTGTGACACTTTTCTTGCATATATTACCTCTCAGTAATTTATGTTAATTTTTTGCTCTAACAATAATGGTGGTCATAGAATGACTGACTGTAAGGATATTAATTTATTTGTGTTAGTAACAGACACATACAAACCTAAAACACAATCATCCATTATGAAAAACATACTTGTACAATAGATTTAACAATTGTTTTCATAATGTGAAATTAATATAGGCCCTGATGATGACCTTTAAATAGGTCGAAAGCTTGGCAGTAACAACTGAATTTGCTTTTTTCTTGAAGATCATACCTTGATTCGAGTGAAAAAGTGGTCGATACTTCTAACATTTAAAACTAAGGTAACTCTAAAATTAGTACTATTTTGCTCTTACAATGAAGAGAAAAACGTAAGACTGACGAATGCCATTAGATTCAGTTAAGGACATGCAATCTTATGTTTTCGCATAAAACATAATTATGGTAATTCAGTATTTACAATATTTCAATTTTCTGTAACATTTGTGACCTGCAACTTTGAAGCTGAGCATTCATGCTTCCCAGATTTTTTAGCGAAATCTGAAGAGCCAAAACTATCAGCACTATAGGTCATACTTTTCTTCTCATTGTACGTCTTCAAAGTGCAACGAGAAGTTACATTGTATATTTTGCCCTTAAGCCAAAGAGGTGAAATTTGAAAACTGACAGACTGCATTACCATTAATGATAGCAGTTTCTTTCATTGAGTGTATTTGTTAATTTTCCCTATTTTCTTCAACGATTCAACGGCTGAACGTTTACAAGAGCCAACAAAAATGGGTAACACCTTGAAACTTGATATGGTCTCAAATACAATATTGGTCTTCAGGCATATTTCAGCCTTTCGCCATCATCAGTATGTCTGTTATTCTGTCTTATGTATTTTTATTCTTTTATTATTTATTATCATTCCAATTATTCTTTCTTGGTAGATGAATATTTGGTTTTCACTAACCAAAAATTGTTGGACAAACCAATGTGACATGGTTATTTGGTGGCAGCCGACGGAGTTCTCTTGGTGTTACCCGTATAGGATTCATTTTTTGTCGCATGTGACAATCCGATCAAAAAACGTCTACTTTGTGCAGGGAAATGTTTCGACACTGAAGCTTGTTTCTGTCAGTCAATTTATGAGAAGTCCATTTGCTCAGCTTCCACGTATTTCCAAGTCGATGTAAAATAGAATGAATGTTTCAACACATTTGTTGCTTCCCTCAATTTGATGGGGGATGCTTCCCTCATTCAAAACAGTGTCTACCAGAATTTGGGTTCATCTTTAATACCCTCATTCCCAGAAGCAAACTTTTTGAACCACTTTTGGGCAGTGGGCTCATTATTGTTTCATCATTGAATGCAGAGCAAATTTTACAAGTTCCCTCGGCCACTTTAGTACCCAGCTTAAATACTTCCCTAATGAGTTTGATTGTTCATATTTTGGGCTTATACAAAATATGCCCAATCCGGTTCCTTTGTTTGTTAGCCTTAATATTATTCCTAGGTGTTTACCCTTATTTTTGAACTGCAACATTTCATTTTAGACACTTGAGTCTTTTATTTCTATGTTTATTTTCCTGGTGAATGCAGTGTGGGTTTTGAGATGTTGTGAACACTAGATTGCTTTACCATGGTGGGTGGCTCTTTAGGTGAGCTCTTTTAAATTTCCCCTGCCTTGGGTATAGATTCCGCTTCCGTTTAGTTTGGATGTAAGGTCCCCACAAACGTTTTCCACAGCAGGGGCAAAGTACTCCCTGTGGTGATGGTGATAGATGGAGGAATGTCCAAGAAAGCTCCTAATATTACATTTTGATTATTCAGTGAATCTTCTATTTCATATAGCTATTCTAGTATTGATTCACAAGATTTTCCTTTATTCCTGTAAAAGGATTTAGTTTCTACAGAGCTATCCCTTATGTTTCTTTCAACTAAACTGTCAAGCATTTCATAAATTATTGTTAAATTGACAAATAGCCATTACTGTGATCAATCGATAACCCAAACCAGTGCCATGAGGTTAGTCATCATCATGTTCAGTGATTGTACCAAGTATAATTTTAAACAATCAATTCAATCCTCTTTTTAAGTGTAATGTGTTATTTACAATGAGGAAAAATTATACAGAACATTTTGTAATTTTCTTTAAATAATGTAACTAATGTAAATAACTGTAAATAATGAAACCAGGCGATTGGGTCATCTACAACAGCTTGTAACTTGTTCACACAGCAATTCATTTCTGAAGTTGGAGTGAAACTGAAACATGTGGCTAAACGAGCAAAAATAGACTGGTGGCACAATAGAGTGATCCATGTCAATCAGTTCCGACTCACAATTCTACCTGCCGCTTAAAAGATAAAACTTAGTATCTTTCTTTATCATATGATACACTATAACTTCTAACTAATACGATACTAAAACTAACTATAACGATTCTTGTGTGTTCAAATTGGGGGTTATCGGGAAAAAAGGGCCAGAGGCGACGGTGGGAATCGAACCCACGACCACGGCGTGAGAGTCTCTCATGCTAACCACTCGGCTACCGCGGTCCGGTATAACTTACCGACTGGAATTAACTAGTCAACAAAAGTACACAGTAGTTCAATTATATTTTCTTGGGAAATAAAGAAAAGAAAAAGTTCAAAGAGGCTGTATTAGGTGAAATAAAGTTATGGTTGTTCATTTTCTCACTTTATTACAGTATCTGATTGTCAGTAAAGCTATAGCTGGTAAGTAAATATTGTCACAGAAAAGTTTACCTTTAGTGAAAAATAAATGGTATCCGAAATAAATGTCTTTCTTGTAGGGTAGTTGTTTCATTTCCAAAAAAAATTTAAATTTAACTTTTTTTGTTGATTTGCCAATAAAATTTCATATTTTCAACAACTTCAACTTATAAAAACCGTGTTTGTAAAAATGAAAAGATTAAATCAACAGAAAAGAATCAATTTCTTGATGTATAATGGAAATAATCATGTCGTTTGCCACCCAGGCTATGATTAAAAACAAAAAATGAAAATGCAAAATATTCAAATGTTCGAACATGTATAAAAAATAATAAATATGACACTCTATTTTAACATTCTCAATTTAAAAAAATAAAAAATAAAATGAAAATGTTATAAACAGAGGTACAAATTAAGTTAAGCAACTTAAGTAACACTTGTTTTATCACACAAAATTACAAAATCTCACAAGTGTGGTTAACTATAAGCCAAATCAATTATAAAAGAATAACAAAGTTAACGCTATTTAAGTGCATTGCCAATTTAATTTAGGTAGATTGCACAAGGTTGTAGGATGTCATTGACTTGAATACGACAATCGGGTCTATAATGAATCATTCTGTTGTTGGTGGTTTCCAAATGTTGGCTGAATGTTGACCCCAAATATTGCTCAAAGAACGAAACGGATGGTACTCCATTGGATGCGGATTCTGAAAACAACAGAACAAATCGGTGACTATTAATCAAAAAATCAATAAACATCTTTATTCGCCTCTTTTCTTTTATAAAGTTCAAACAGGATAGCAAAATAGAAACAGAAAAATTTAAATTTTACCACTAATTAATCTGTCCTGCTGAATTATTCATCCAATTATAAATTAAACAGTTTTAAACTGTGAGCATAAAAAAACTGATCAGCAAAATTCTTATGTTTATCCTTCTCAGCATCATCAATACTTCTGACAGACTTTTTGCATGTCCTGAGATACATTCCCATTGAACCGAGGACGTATTTTTAACCAATTTTCTAATAGGACTATGTTTTTTGGCAGTTTGATATTCCAAGGAGGAAATCTACCCATATTGCAAATAAGAACACATCCTAGGGTACCAAGATGACCCTTATAAAAGAAGATTTGAGTCTTTATTTAGCTGAAGTAAAGAATTAAGAAAAGTATAAGCCAAAAGGATGGAAGAATGGAAAATATCAGAACCCCCCTTCCTAGTATCCTTCTCATCATCATCAAAGCATCCAACTTGCTCCCAATGGAAGAAACATAAAACATGAAATTTACTGAAATATAAAACCTACTATATTTTCATCAGGAGGTGAAGGACTTGGGGATGTAGGCGGCCCCCAAACATCAGAACCCCAAACAGGTGGCAGGCTTTCAATTGTTGAAGATGGCGTGTACAATGGTTCCCACAGTGAAGGCATAGACGGCCAGTTTATCTCTGAAAATAAGTTTTTACGAATATAAAGATAAATAACAACAAGGCTAGAATCTTTTAAAATGATAATTGTAAAATTGTAAATAATTAAAAATAATATTCAAAATAATTGTAAACATTTTGTACCATTGTTTGTAAATGTTTGTTGTGCTTCGTATTCCATTCCTTGCTGATCATGAAGTACTTTCATAACATTAGGGTCATTCCAAAGAGTTTCATAATTGTTTGACTATAACAAAAAAAATTAGTTTTAAATTAATTAATCAATTCTTGTTCTATAACATTACATGTATTATTCAAGAAAAATAAAAAAAATCACGATAAATTGAAAAGTATTTTATTGCATATTTATCATAGGGTTAGAAGTTAAAACGATTCAGCGTTTTTAAGATCTTGTGCATCATCATGACTATATATATATAAAGTGGAAGGTTTATGGGCCGACAAACAGCTGAGGTCATCGCCGGGCCTCCGCATGTATTCCTTCTCTATCCATCATCATGACTAATATTGCATAATATATCTATCTAATAAATCGAAGTCAATCATAATACGAATGTAACATAGTTTTGTGATGTTAAACTTATTATTTATTATTATAAATATAAATTTATTTAAAATTTTTGTGTAAAGAAAAATTAGTGTTTTCATCTCAACTGCACTTTACATAAAAATTATAAATCAATTCAAATCATGACTTTTGTTAAATAGAACCAACTAAAAACACGGATTAAGCTAATAATATATTTATAGATTTATTATTTTAGATAATAGTTAGATTAATTTTGCCATATTAAAAAGTGTCTGTACAAAAAGTAAAAACAATAAAGCTATTAAGACGCAATCCCCTGAAAAATATTAAATTTTTTTAAACTTGCTTATTTCTAATATATAATCAATAAACATACTGTCATTCGAGGCTGGCTGTGAGTAAAAAGACTGTTTACTGACTGTTGCATCGTATTCTGCGACTGTATAGAATCAGCTAAAGTGGACCAATTATCCCAGACTGAATTAATAGCGAGCTTTGTGCCAACAGCACCTGTAAAGTTATCTGTAAATGAAAATATTAAAAGAATTATTATTTTGTATAAATGCACAGAATGAAGACTGGAAGTGAATTATTTATCATATTAAAGAACTACGCTGATATTTAGAAAAAAAAATTAAATATATTTAAATTTTTTTAAAGCTATTAAGCTTCAGGACAAGACTTTATTACCCCCTAAAGCGACTAATATTGCTGAAATCCCTTTTCTCTTATATTCCAGCAAAATCTGGAGTCCTCAAAGGAAGTATCCCAGGCCCGATTCTCTTTGCAATGTACACTGTTGACTTTCTACTCCCCTATACACAATCATTTCCACCTTTTCTAATGGAACGGATATCTTCTTTTCCCACTCCAACCCACCCGTTGTAAGCTTCTATCTTCAATCCTCTCACTATTATTGTGAAACCCCAATTAATGGACTAATAGCGGTCTCTCCGACAATTTTTGTTTCCCAATAAAAAAGTATTTCTATATATTTTAAACCCCTCCATACCATTCATTGGCACCGTCATCCGTCCCCTCCAGAAGAATGATAACAGAAACCATTTTGTTTACATTTGGGTTTTGAGAACTACGTAGGTATGTTTTCACCATGTCTGTTCAAAAGTTTCCCTTTCGCAGAAGAATAAATTGGTCAGGCATTCAAGACAACTGTATCTTTTTTTTCTGTAAACTATTGTGTCATCGTTCTGCTACTTCTTCAACAACTTCTCTTCCAAGGAGGACAAACTGTACAGGCATTTGACAGCTTTTTTTCTGTTAACTACTTTCCCTTCATTCTGTTTCTTCTTTGAAAGCTTCTCTTTAATGGAAGTATAAATTGTTCTCCCTCTTTTTCTTTCTTTTTGTTTCCTTTTTTCAAAGAAACTATTTTTTTTTTTATATGTTCTGTTTCTACTTTAAAAGATTCTCTTTAATAGATGAATAAGCTGTCATTCTTTTTCTTTATTTTTGTTTCCTCTTTCCTGGAAATTACTTTTTCTGTACATGTTATGTTTCTTGTTTGAAAGATTCTCTTTCATGGTGGAATAAATTTTCTCTCTTTTTCTTTATTTCCTGGGAAATATTTTTTCTTTATATGTTCTGTTTCTTCTTTGAAAGATTCTCTTTTATGGAAGACTAAATTGTTCTCTCTCTCTTTTTCTTTCTTTTTGTTTCCTTTTTCCTGGAAATTACTTTTGCTTTATATGTTCTCTTTCTTGGTTGAAAGATTCTCTTTAATGGAGGAATAAATTGTTCTCTCTCTTTTTCTTTATTTTTGTTTCCTTTATTTCCTGGGAAATATTTTTTCTTTATATGTTCTATTTCTTCTTTGAAAGATTCTCTTTTTGGAGGATTAACTTGTTCTCACTCTTTTTTTTTTTTTTTAACTACTTTGACTTTATACGTTCTGTTTCTTCTTTCAATGCCTCTCTTTTGTGGAGGAATCAAAATTCTTGTCCCACTGCTCTAACATGGTTGACGCTGATGGAGATTAAGATTGCCACCCTATTTATCTGAACTGTTATTGGCCAAAAGAGCACATCTTGGCTCTCAAGTCTTAACTGTATTTCATGTTAACCCGCTTAATACGACTTACGCAAAATTAAAAAAAAGCTATTTTGCATGTTTGACTTTTACAAAGATAAGGAAAATGAAAAATGATTTGCCATGATGAACGAATTGAAAATGCACCACAAATATGAAACGTCTTCTTTTTTCTTCTCATTTTTTGTAATACTTTTTACCGACTTCTGACATATTAAATACCTGGGGCTGCTTATTCATAAATTGCTGACATGGAATCCACTCACTCGCCTGAAATGGCATGAACCACCGTTACAAACTTGCTGAGACTATTTGATCAACAATCCCACCTACTCATCAACAAACACCATCTACAAAACGATCTTTCATCCTATATGAACCAGAAGAGTGGATGTTTAGTGCTCAAGCATTCCAATTCATCCCATATCCAGACTATCCAATACACAATCCTAAGAAAAAAATGCTCCCATTTATGTCTTCGGTAAAAACACACTGACCTAAATGTTCAATTTGTTCACAGCCTTGTGAACTCGTTATAAGCAATTCCACATTTTCCAACAACTTTCCTTACTAATCCTACCTGGAAATCCTCCACTAAGGTGGCAATCTTAATTAATATATTACAATTAATTGGTCACACGGACCACGAAATTAGTGAATTTAATGAATTAAAATGAAGTATACTTCACTAAAGCTCTCCGTGGCCATTTCAATTTTCGCCGAGAATCAAATAGATTATACGACATTTGAAAAATGGCAAAAAGGAGGGAAAATTCAAAAGGTGGGGTTGAAATGGGAAGTTGGTGTCCGAATGGATCGAGGTCACGATGGCTCAAGTGGTAGAGCAGCAGCGTATCAAGCCGAAGATCGTGGGTTCGAATCCCGCTCGTGCCATTGACTTTTTTATCTCAACTACAAGCCTTAATTAATTGCAATATATTAATTGGTCAAGCGGACCACGAAATTAGTGAATTTATATTTACCATTCAACTGATGATTTGCACTGCAATTCTGTTTAATTTGATCAATCTCTGGATATTCGTTTTTCCATTCTGACGGAAAATCTTTTTGAGTGTAGGTAAAACCATTGTCTGAAAAAAAATTACACATCAATTACTACATTAAATTATAAATTATTCAAAATAACTAATATTTTTTTATTTAGTGGAGAAAATTTAGATTTTAACCCTTTGTAGACAAGCTGATCAAGTCTGTTCACAGTAGTGAATACAATAAAGCAGTTTTTGTTCCTCTATCTTCCTAAATGATAAGATATGCATATACTAAACAATATAGCATTTGTTTTTAAAAGGAAATTAGAGAGTTTAAGTTATGAGGTATTATCTCATAGTAAATTCATGATGTGGGATGATGGCCGATACTATCAGGAAAAAACCAGTAAGTCTTTTCTCTGTTTCATACATTATAACACACTGTATAGAGCCATGTATAGAGCATGTATAGAGCCAGAAAGGACATGTTCTATAATAAAATAATAGCTGGTTGGTCCATCCGCATGCTGGCATTTTCGCCATCTTAAGAGGGTTTTCACAGTTTGAAGTCAAATTTTCCATCCTGACCTAGCATTGTCATTCAAACTGAAACACCTCTGACAGACTAAAACGATCAATAATGACCAAATTGCAGGTTTATCTCCCTGCAGATCTCAGAAGGAAATTTCACAATTTAACAAATAACAAATCTAGGATACCTTACTTTGTCAAAACATTCAGGACCGATTTGTACAAATATTTTGCAATGCGCAAAACATCAAAACGCGAACGCAAAAAATTTTTTTGAATATATCGACAATAAATTTAGGGATTATTCTACACCTGGGGTGGAGTTATCGGTGAATCAATAGTAAATTCAAAGTGAAAGTAATCTTCAGAGGGAAATTCGTATTTATGTTCTTTATGGATGCCAATATTGGAAGATACAAACCGTTTTGCCATATTATGGCAGTGTCATAACTTAGAAATTAGTCAGACCTGTTCTCCCAATAATAACAAGAATAGTTTTACAGGTTATTACACTTCTTATTATTTTATTTACACCATTCTTTTACTTATTATTATTTACACCATTATTTTACAAGTCCTTCACTGATTCATTACTAAATATGAAATGCCACATAACTAAAACTATTCAAATTAATAGTAATAGTTTTTATAAAGCAAAAGTTTTTATTTTTAATGGACTTATTACTTTCATATTTGCCAGAGTATTGTAGTATGTATTACTGTTAATGTTAAACGTATGTATTCATAAGGCCAGGGGCTACACTGTTTAAGCCAAGAAATCACACTGATCACTCGGCTCCCACCCAAATGTTTAACATTTCTATACTGCTTGTGCAATACCTCTAGTCAACAGCTCTGACTCTGTCCATAAAGGATTAATAACTGAATAAAGAAGAATGCTGTACAATAAAAATGTAAAGTAGTAAAAAAAATTATAATAAAAATTTGTTCTAAATAACTTCGTATTCAAAGCAACTTGTATGGATAGTTTCAAAGGAATGTCAAGTCAAAATACATACCGACTGGTGATAAATTCATAGGTGGCTGTTTAGGTACTGAATGTTGTTCATTGTTTTTTAATGCAACTACGCTTGAATATGATGAATCTGATCGGGCGACGACATCACTAAAAGATGTAGTCCATACTGGAGGGGGCGGTGGTGGAGGTGCAAGTGCTTCGACAGGAGTAACTAGAATAAAAAAGTGTATATTAATTTTTTTTTCGAACAATGGGCGATATGTCTACCTTTTGTTAAAGGTGCATGTTTATCAAATTTTTCAACGCGTTTCTTTGATATGTGGTTTTTATCCCTTCGTGAGCCGATTTTTCCTCTTTCCATGCCGTTTTGTTTAACTTTGGGCGGTAACTGGTCATGCCTGGATTTGCCGGCATTGCTGACTTGTTTTTTCAACGGTTTGGCAGCGGATGTATGGGGTCTTCTGTTTCCTTTGACCACTGTCACTTTATCCAACATGTCGTCTTCTTCGGCTTCACAGTAATTTTCAATCGAACTGCTGGAACATTTTTCTAATGTCTTTTTCGCTTTGACAGTGAGTGGAGATGTCTCTTGAAATCTGATATGTCTCCCTTTCCCAACCTTGTTTTGTAAATGATTTCGGACGGATCTAAAAAACATACTTTCCACATCCTGAAAATTAAAAAGTTCACCTTTAATGTTTTTAAATCAAAATGGTCATATTTAATTTCAACTATAATACCCATAAACAAATTAATTTTATAAATAATTGAATTACCTTATCGCCGTCATCATTTGAGGATGATTCTGTTGTTGAAGAATCTCCATCTTCATTAGTTGTATTGTTGCTATTACTATTGTTTCCACTGCTACTATGATTACTGTTGCTGCTACTGGTGGTACTGTTGGAACTTTGATTAGCATTGTTCTCAGTCGTTCTCTTTCGAGCGTCATCTGTTTAATTAAAAATTCAATTACTATATCAAATCTTTTTATATGTATAAGCTGCAGACAAAAAGATAAATTTATTACCAGTCTTTTTCTTTTTCTTTTGCTGCGTTTCTGTATTTCGTTGAATTGGCTCACTCTTTGATTTGACCATATTTTCTGACTTAGAATTCGTTTCTCTCGGCTTTAAATTCGCTAGTGGTGTATAAGGCTCAGTTGTAATGCAAATACCAGATGACTTAGTATGCTTTTGTGCAGGACTAGTTGTTTGTCTGTGTAAATGTAATATTAATCATTAGTATACAATACAATAAAGGAATTTGTTGATTTACAAAACCAGCACATAAAAAATATACAAAAATAATTATAGTAGGGACCCTTAATGTACAATAGAAACAGGAGTGGTCCTAAAATTGACCTGTGGAGGACACCAATTTTCATTCAATCAGCCCATATCTATACATTTAAAATTGAATGATATTGCTTTTTTCCAACAAATTAACCCTTTTTAACTCCAAATTAAGCCATTGTAACTTCAAATTAACCTTTTAAATTGCAAATAAACCCTTTTAAACATCAAATCCTTGTTAACTTAAAATTGACCCTTTTCAATTTCAAATTAACCGGGGTTTTTTTAACATTAAAAAACTTATGTAATATAACCGTCTAAAGTAAAATTCCCATATATTTGCAATTTTTATATATATAAAATAATTGGGCTTTTAAAACACCATATGAAAATTAATTAAAATTAAAATTAAAAATGATATAACATTAAATATAAAAACAAATGATTCCTCTATTATTAATTTAAGATTGTTTTGTAAATATAAAATAATTCATATGAAACTTGCAATTAAAATTTAAAATTATGTAAAATTAAAATCAAAATAAAGGATTTTTCTTTTAATTTGATTTTTTTTAATTTTTGATGATGGGTTTTGGTCTGCGAGATGGTGAACTATGTTGAACCAGCACAGGGTTGCTTGCTGGGTCTGTCTTCACTTGCGGGTTTTTGAGTTATTCAAATGTGTTTTGACATAGAGCCATCTTCAATGAGGAACTGTAACTGTCTGTAACTTTGTCCGTTGGGTCTGTTGGTTGTTGGTAAGGGCATTTGCGGTATTAGGCATTGTCATGGTACTCATTGGTCAGTTGTGATGTCGGTTATTATTTGTTCATTGTTATGGGCTTATGATGATTGGAAAGCAAAATGGATTTTAGGGTTGGGTGTAATGGATTGACAGAAGTGGGTTCAAGATTCAACCACCCTGAAACATTGCTGGGTCATGGAATGACAAGGAACAACTGAATCGGAAAGAAGGAATGAATTATAATCTAGGGTGAGAATTAGGTGTTTTAAAAGGATTATTTCAAGGAATTCAGACATTACTAGTTAATAGGTCTCTAGAAAAATACGTGGCTGGGACCAATGAACACCATGACAACACCTCCTACCTCAAACGTCCCTACTAGCAACTGATGGACCCAACAGACAAACTGGCAGGCATATATGAAACTTCATTCCTCACTTAAAGGTGCCACAATGCCAAAACGTATTTGAATCACTCAAAAACCCGCAAGTGGACAGACCCAGTAAGTGACCCTGTGCTGGTTCAATATAAAAATTTATTCTGATCTAAAATACCAACGTTCAAAACAAAATTTGATGGAATATACTGACAAAAGGAGCACAGATTTAAGAAAGTTACAACAGCATATTCACTTTTTCCAAAAGCATCAAGAATTTAATTTATTAAATTCACTGTAGCAAGTCCAGTGGATTCACCTTGGAGAGAATCAAAACTTTTACTCTATAAGTTGTAGCTTGAAAATGGTCGAGAAGGGGCGTTGGCGGCCGCAACAATTTAGGTGTTTACATCACACTCATTACTGTAAGGAAAAGAATCCAGTGGATCTACATACAAACCTGACATACTAACAAATGGACATTTTTTCAAAAATACCCCAAGGATTTATATAATGTTGTAGTTGAAATATCCTCGTTTAAAAAAATTTAAAAAAAATTCACTAGTTTCGTGGCCCGCTTGACCAATCAATATCTTACAATTAATTAAGGTTTTCAGTTGAAATAAAAATGTCAATGGCACGAGTGGGATTCGAACCCACGATCTTCGGCTTGATACGCCGCTGCTCTACCACTTGAGCTATCGTGACCTCCATACCTGAAAACCTTAATTAATTGAAAGATATTAATTGGTCAAGCGGACCACGAAAACTAGTGAATTCAATAAGTTAAAATGAAGTATATCTTCACTCAACCTTTCTGTGGCCATTTCATTTGTCGCCGAGAATCAAATAGATTACACAACATTTGAAAAATGGCAAAAAGGAGGGAAAATTCAAAAGGTGTGGTTGAGATGGGAGGTTAGTGTCTGAGTGGATCGAGGTCACGATAGCTCAAGTGGTAGAGGAGCGGCATATCAAGCCGAAGATCGTGGGTTCGAATCCCGCTCGTGCCATTGACTTTTTTATCTCAACTGAAAACCTTAATTAATTGTAAGATTAAAAAAAATAATAATAAATCAAGAAGTCTATTTTAAATAGAAATTTCAAGAGTTTAATCTAAAAACGTGTGTTTAGTGATTATGAGACAGCACTGGACAGAGTGAGAAACCTCATATGGAGAATCATGGAAATCATAACATTGATATGAGGCTTGTACTTATATGAGAAAATCAAAATCCTCATCAAAATTAATTGAGAGATCTGTCAAGGAAGTTGTTTACCACCAGTTTTTTTATTTATTTATTTTTTTAAACATCTACGTTGACAGTCCAGCAACAGTGTGAACTAACAACTAACTGGTTTACTCCTACATCCAAATGGACCCACTTTCAATAAGAAAGAACAGAAGATAGTTTGCATGCTCTTTTCACTCTCAACCAGACACGAAGGGATATTAAAAATCTGTAGTAAAATAAATGCCTTTGATGGTAAGCACACAGACCAACCTAACCTTTTCCCTTGACATTTCTTGGCTGCGACCTGAGCTAGTAGGTATCAAAGATTAGGTGGCATGATTCACCGAGCTCTTGGGAAAATGTAGGATAAGAAAATGAGATCAAATTTTACACAGGCATCCCAGTATATATAGAAGCAAATCTTGGATGCTAATTGAGATTGAGGGGCCATATCTGAAATGAAGCTATCCAAGAGGAGTTGGGAATATACTCTAACATGATGGAAGATGGAACTGACTTCAAGCCTAATCCCTGAAGAAGAAAACAACACACAGGCATTACTCTTTACTTATTTATCCTTAGATGAACAATCAAACAATTTAATGGTAATTATTGATGATGTTTTTAATTGAATGTGCAAACTATAAATTTGTCTACTTTAATCCATCATAGTCACAGACCGATAACATATATTAATAGAATAAAAAATATACCTTGAAAATGAACTTTCCCACTCTGATTTTTCTCCAGATACTTCAACGCTGTCAGTTGTACGTTTTGACACTGGTTTCTCCGTCTTTTTCTTTGGAACATTATTGTTGCAATTGGCATTGTTCGTGTTGTTATTGTTGTTCGAAGTAGTAGGATAATTTTGAGGCGGTTTCCCGTTCAAATTATTTGTACAGAGAGCATTGTTTTCAACTGAATTTTGAATTTCATTTGGGACCTGAAATATAAAAAGTGTGAAAAATCTCTTTTTTTTTTTAAGAATATACAGTAATTATTAATAAATACATACCTCAAGATCTATATTCATATTAGGGTTCCAAATTAACTTAGTTGGTGACTCAGTTGAAACATCTTGCGGTGGCTCGTCTTGGCTGCAATTGACTTCAGCACCAACCATCCTTTAACACAATATTGAATTACAATTAAACCAAAATGATACATTTATACTAGTTTATCATAATAAACATACCTTAAATCTAAAACAGGTTGCACAGTTTGTACTCTTGATAATGCAATTATAGTATTTCTTAAAATTCTATTTGACTCAAAAATTGCAGCTGCCATTACGGATATCAATAATACCAGCATCAATGAGACAATGACGTAGTACAATAATGGTTCCCATGATGGCCTCTCAATACCAGCCGAACATGCGGCAAGAAGAAATGGAGGGACAGTGGCGATTAGTGTGTAATTTGCCGCCAAATCAGGAGTCAATATTGTCAGTGTCCTGGTGACTTTTGACAAGGTAAAATCTGGAGTAAAAGCTATATCGATCTGAAATGATATAAAATATTCTCACATTATTACACAAGTCAAGTAGCAAAGGTGTAAGAAGGATCTCTATGTAACACATTGAAAATAGGCAAACACTAAAATATCAAGCATCTTTATCAACGAGCCAAGTCTTGATTGGGCTCTGTACTGGTCAATGGCATCTGAGAAAACACCTACATTCAGCGATGACCCCATAGGTTATGCAATGAGGAGGAAGAAACTGTTACCCATATTATACCCTTGGTTGCCCAAAAGATTCGGGAAAACAAGGTACTCAAAGAATCACGACCATGGTCAAGCACAATTCTCAAATTGGGTGCCATTCCAACACACTCTCTATATCCAAAGAATGACATCCTTCAATTAATACATTCGTTTCGGTCCAATTGACATGGCAAAGACACCATACACAGATGTCATTTCATCATAACGTCTCACCTTTTCTAAATAAACCCTGCTTTTCGAAGTTTGTTATAGCGTTGGGTTTTCCCCTGAATCGAGGGGGTTTCACAAGCCTTTCGTACCACTGTATCCATGTTACTGTTAGATCATTATTAAATAATTATTCAGAAATCGTGAGATGCGGTCTGGTGTGATGTAGGTTTCAGAAAAACATTTTCTTTATCGTGCCAACGTTTCNCACAATCGCGAGCACAGACGTACAACCTTCAAGGCAATATATTGTGCAATTAGTTCCAACCAGAATTTCATGTAGTGAAGCCATGTTGAGTGATAGTGATTTGTGTTGTGTGATTATCGCTGTGGGTGCCAGTGCGAAAAAGAAGAAGAGCTCGCAAAAAGGCAGAAAATGGACCAAACAGTGGCTAATTGATAGGAAAAAGTACACCCACGAAAAATTACTTAATGAACTGAGTGTCTGAACCAGATGACTTTCGTAACTTTTTACGGATGAACGGCGAAATATTCGATGAACTGTTCGCTTTGGTTATTCCTCAAATTGAGAAAAATGACACTATCATGCGTGATGCTATTCCTGCAAGTCAACGGTTATCCATAACCCTACGATATCTCGCTACTGGGAATAAGTTTGAAGACATGAAATTCTTAACCGCTGTTTCGCGTTTCGCCACAGTCAATCGGTCACATTCTTATGGAAACGTGCACGGCCACGATAAACGTCCATCAATTCGAAAATGAATTGCCTATCAGCTTCCTTGGCAGCCATGATGACGCGTACTCTACCACGTGTTGACTGATGGGATATTGCGCAATATTGCCTACAGACGGCACAACCTTTTCCCGTTTGCACAATATATTTTCAAGGATTTGAATTTAGCACAATATATTGCACAACCTTTCAATTTCGACTACACACGATCAACTGTATTGCACAAACCTAAATATTGCGCAATAATATTGAGCGTGTATGGGCCGCTTTATGTTTATATACGTTGGATTTTGAAGGGGTGGGGAAGGAAGTCGGTATAGAAAAGATATTTTTGTATAAGGCGTCGGCTTCTTTGAGGTGAAAAGAGCCGACGAAGGGAAAAAATGTGTTGGTAATGGTTCGGCCAGATTATCCTTTCAGTATTATATAGAAAGGGATAAATAGGAAAAGGAAGCTAAATTGTTGGACAATTAGACTATGAAAAATATCTGATGTGTGGAATGTAATGTAATGATATATGTGTCACGATCTGTTCTCGATTCAACAAGACGGGCCCAACTCTGATTCCTTTTTATGAGAAACAGAGCCCCAGAGGTCTTGATCGAACCTGAATACAGCCGATCAGGTACCTTTTTTTAAATAAAATTTAATTAAAGTTTAAAAACAATTATTAAACACACAAGAAAATAATAATTAAAACCAATAAATTTCCTTTTAAATTCCAAACAAACAATTAAAACTTTTTATAAATTTAAATAAACAGTAATTTCCTACAAAGCGTTTGCCAGACCATTTAGAACAAGGGTGGATATGTACTCACTATTTCTAGTCTATTCGCAGTGAACTGAAGCACTCTAATTTAGGGAATACACTTTTGAGGATCGCACACTTCTCTCCTCGTCTACACGGAATCTTGTTGTTCACCTCTCTGACCCGACTGTCTCTTCCCTATCCTCTTTTTTTTTTACTCTAAGCCTAATCATGGCATCTAAATCATAACATTGTCACTTTGAATTGAAATGTGACAAATTGTGGATCCAAAAATCATTAAGGTCTTGTCGTAAATCTGGAAAGTCCAAAATTCCGCATCTGGTTCTTCTTTCTTCGTTCTTGATTAATGCTTGAACTATTTTCTGCGATAGTGTGAAGTAGACTTGAGGCTATGCATCTTTCTTGATCAAAGGATCCATAAAGTTCTATTTCATTCAAACGTAACCAAGTCCATAATGACTGAATTTTTGCTTTAATTTGGAATTATATGTCTTCTGTTCATCGAAGTAGCGAGGAGGTTTTGATTAAGAGGAATTGGAATAATTCAGTCATTAAAATGCTAATAGCTTGGGAACCAATTTTCAAACCAAAAGGTACGCGGTTAAACTGTATATTTTTTCACCGTCGGTAAATGCGGTAAGAAATCGGGATTCTGGCGATAATTGCAATTGATGAAATGATTTTGTTAGATCCAGAGCTGAATAATATTTATGGCCCGCTAACTTGTCCATGACCGATTTAAGAGGGGGAATTGGGTACTCAAAATATTTTAATTTTTTATTTAATTCCCTATAATCTATGACAAGACGATATTTTCCTTTTTGTCCCTTCTTAACTAGAAAACACGGAATGCAATAATTTGAAACCTTTTCAAAAATTATGTTTTGATTCTTTAAGTCCTCTATTATTTCTTGGGTTGCCTTTTTTTGAGCCGGATTTAAATAATATGGGCGACAACGTACTGGACTAGAGTCTATTAATTCTAATCGAATTTGGAAAGCGTTGGCTTTTCCTATTTGATCGTTTAATACTTCTGGGATTTTCGATTGTAAATATTCTTTCAAATTTTGATGTGTTACATTTAAACAGTTCATATTGGTAACGGTATTTAGAGGATATACAGGATTTTTATTGAAACCAAAGTACTTATTTTGTCTCGGATATAAATTCAAGTCACTATGTTTCTAAAAATCATACCCCAAAATCATTGAAACCGGAAGATTTTTTATGACCAAAAACCTAAATTTCCATGAAAACTCTTCAATTCTAATTTTTAATTCAATTCCCTTTTTGGGTTCTACATTTTCTCCGTTTACAGCTATTAATTTTAAATTTGTCTTAAATTCGTTTTTTTGGTTAACTATTCTTGAATTTACAACCTTATGATAAAAGTTTTCTGAAATTGATGATTTCGTTGCTCCTGAATCTATCAGTGCATTTACTGAAATTTTGTTATTTATAATGGTCGTAATTAATCCAACCCCTTTGTTATAATTTACATGATTTTTTGACAGTGCAATGTTTTTTTCTTTCAAATTGTTTTTTGAAATGTATTATATTTTAAACTGATCTTATCAATGACAGCTATAAATCCTTTTAAATCATTAAAATTTCTTTGCTTTAATTTATGTTTATTATTTTGTTCCGTTGTAGATGAATTTGGTGTATTTGCTGTTAATTTCTCCGACGCGATTGGTCCGTTTTTTGCTGATTCCCGAAATTTAAATGGTCGGTATTTTATTTTATTAAAATATTGGGTTGTCCGGAAAATAATGCAGGATTTTAAGTTTTCATTAAAAAAAATCTATATAAAATATTCTGTTTACGTTTACAGGATTACTCATTTGTATGAATGTCAACACTTATTAATCCTCTTCCAAATGATATTGTTTGTTTACCTCTGTAGCATTCCGCTACTTG